GAAACACAATGATCGGTGTCCGCTGACGACTTGCTACCGAAGGTCAGCGTGTGTCCCCGCGTTGCCCGGAGTTCTGCCGAGGGGGGCCAAGGTTTTATGGGCAGATCATGCTAAGACTGACATTTCAGGCTAGGTTAGAGTAGACTGATTCACTCTGTCGCGTGATTATTTTTATTTCATAATGTAGGAACTGCAGATTTATCTTTTAATAGCTTTCCTCCTCTGCAGTGTTACTTTAAAGAGTTCTAGAGATCGCTAGATAAATGATAGCTAGATAGGAGATAGATAGACAGATAAATGGCAGATGAAAAAATACGCTGGAGTCACTGCCTGAATGCAGAAAGCGTCAAACGTCATTTTTAACAGATTTAATCTTAGATGATTACCTCGGGTTTCCCCCCATCCCTTCAGCAAGGAGTTTAGTCTAATCTGACAGTATAAAAGTGCCTCGGATGCTGAGATCATTAACTTTTAGTTTCAACATATTTATATGAACATTAATGAATCCTTCCTCGAGAGAGAGAAAAAGGGGAGGAAAAAAGGGGCTCTATTTCAGAAGGCAGAAAGATACTTGCCTAACTCCTCCATAGTCCAAGATCTGAAAACCTGAGAGTCCCTATAAGCAAAAGCCCCTCCAGGAAAGGGCTCCTTTCTGAATTAACCGTTTTAAAGCTTGGCCTCTTAAGACAGTTTCTGAGTCCCTGAGTTCTGACTGCAACTGTGTTAAATTCCCGAATGCAAGCAATACCCTCATGCTGGAGCTGTTGGCAAAACTCTCATCAAGTTTGCTTGGCCTGCTTTCCTTTAAAATGAGCATCAAACTACCACAGAAAAACCCAGCCATACGGAGATTTCTATAAAGATTTTAAGACTGGCCTTTTGCATTTCATCCTTTCTTTTCCCTTTTCCTCCTTACTCTGTCTCTAACCGGAGAGATCTGGAAAATGGGCCGGAAAATGAATGAAGTAAAAAAAACCCACTGATCTGGAGGCCCTGATCTTATGTACAGAAGGTTCCTAGGCAGCTGGCAGGTGGATTGGGGGATCCCAAGGTGAAGGGCAGAGTCTTCCAGGGCTCAGTCCCACTCCCTCCCTCCAGGCGCCCGCCTGGCCTGGGAGCGCAGCCGAGCAGCTAGTATTGATGTCCCTGGGAGCTCCGCTGTGGCCGGGAGAGTTCTCTTAGAAAACTTAAACCAAATTCCAATACAAATCCCAGTCCTCTGCTGGGGCACGGGCGCAGGGGGTGCAAGGTCCTGGACGCACTGGGTGTTGAAGCCCCAGGCACTGCGTCAGTGTTCAGGCATCTGGGAAGGACACCCTGACTAGCTTCTGACCCTGCAGGCTTCCCCGCCGGCCTCCCTCAGGAGTATAGCTGTGGTGTTGGGGCCTCAGCGAGGCCAGCATGCAGGGACAACCCCCTGACCTCAGGAGGCTGCTGGGACCCACCCCTTATGTCCAGCCTCTTGTCCTTCTGCACCTGGGAGCCCTCCCAGGAACCCCCAGGATGAGGAGCACACCTGGCCCTACTCAATGCAGCCACTAGGAGCCAGGCAGTGATGCCCAGGGAGAATGGTCCCAGCAGCGCAAGTATACATAGGGAGGAGGCTGATGCCCTGCCTTCATCTCCTTCATTCCGGGCTGGGCTTCCAGACCCTTCCTTGGCATCAGAAGCTCCAGCCAGCATGAAACATCCAGGTCATGGTGCCTCCTATTCTCCCAGAGCAGCTGCAGGCCCTGCTCGCCACCCTAGCCTCTGTCTACACTGAACCTGGGGCAGGTGTGACGAAATGGGTCCAAGGCCTCAGCTCAAGTACTGACTTCTGAGTCTCTCTGAGGGCCCTGGGGGACCAGGCAGGAGATGAAGAGGTTCCAAAAATGATAGAGAGGACACTGGGATGGCACAGGGTTCCGGCAGTAAGAGGCTGGAACCTGGAGCTCAGGACGTCACTATTGTTTTCCGGACTCCTGGGATCTCAGGGCTGGCCAGGGCTTGTCAGTCACCCTTAGAAACAGATCCTTCCTACTTGGATGCAGGGGCCCTGGGAACCACCTAGAGGTGACCCCTGGCAAATGGCGGTCATAAGCCAAGGTGGGCTTCTCTTAGTAAGACTCCCACGGGCCCCGCACAGCTGCATCTCCCTGCTCTCTGCTCCTCTGGGCCTCTTTCGGGATTGGCCTATTATACTGGCATCCTCAGGCCTGCTTTCCTGCCGGAGAACTCCCGAAGGCCAAAAACCCACGTGTCCAGGCCACCGGACGTGGACGAGGCCATGTAGAACCAGAGCAAGTCTGCACTGCAAAAGGGGAATCTGCACCACTGACCCGAGTCTTCAGCCCAGGGGCCCCTGCACAAGCATCCTCCCTGGGGGGCTCGCAGGAGAGCGGTTTTCATTCCTCCCTGCCCAGCTCTATATGATTTCCCGACTTCTCCTACCCCCTACCCGAAAGAACCAACCACAAGGAAAAGCAGCTCTTTGGAATCTCAGCGTGGAAACACTCAAGGGTGGTGATCAGAATATTTAGAATAGAGAAACTCAATCCAAATCCCCAGTGTGCAGCTCACATCCAGGCCTGGGCTGCACGGGGAAGAGGGGTGTGGGGGCTGAACACAGAACTATTTCCTCTCCTCCCTTCCCTTCTTAAACCTCCACAGACACCCCTCCTTCATCCTCCCTTCTTGAATTAAGGCCCCTTTCTAATCCTAACTAAAGATCCAAGAATCTGTGAAGGGAGGGATGTGATTTTGCAATCCAAAATCCTAATTATAGAAAAAAAAATTGTTATTCAACAAAAAGAATGGGAAAAAAAACCATTTTTGTAAAAAAAATTTTTTAACAAAGGGAGAGGTGCTCAGTTGATGATTATGTTCATTCCAATCCTAGCTTCTTGGTGGAAAATATGTCTTGTGAGTTTCTTAAAACTGTCCAACTCTGAAGCAAATTCATATAAAAAATGTTAATTCGGTGTGCTGCGGATGTGTTCTTTCTGTCTCAGCCTTGTTATATTGGGCAAACTTATGGGGAACGCACAGACAAAAGGCTTTCACATTTAAACAATAAAAACTGTCATGAGGCCATCAAACCCATTGTGGTGACCACACAAACGCTGGCATAATGTGTCTGACGGTCTGAAACATCAGCACCCTGAAGTCACAGACTGATATGTGTGTACGTGCCTCCAAGTTAAGACATTAACAGTTTCCCCAGATTCGGGTTTGATCTCTAAAATTATTTTCAAAAGGGAAACACATGTGAGCCTATTTGAAGGACGTGGACAGCCGAACCCTGTTCGCACCTGGCGTGTGAACTCTGGCTCTGACTTCAGCCAGTGAGCAAGTGAAATTCCGGGGGGCAACGGGGTTCCTCCTGGGACTGTCCCTTTGCGGTCCTCTCCATTCTCTCTGGCTCTCCCCATTTCTCACCTCCCACAGATGGTGCAGGGGACGGGAGCCTGGGGTTTTGCTCCGCCTTCGTGCACAGCAATTTGACTTGCTTTGTTTTTTGTTCTGTCCCTCTCTAAAGGGTAAAGATGTCCCCACATTGTTGCAGGACTGTACTTCTTTATGCCCCGACAATCATGAGACAGCCTGCGAGACTGAAATCCTCTCACCCTGTCCCCTACCCCCGCTCGAGGAAAAAAAAAAAAGACAGAGCTGGGTTTGTTCCGGAGCCCGGGCGGGGCAAGACTTGGAGAGAATTCCTCTTTTCTGGGGCTGTTGGACGTCTCGATTTTTGAAGATTTATATCAAAAGTGACAAAAGCAGTGTTATCAGAAGGCCCCGGCTCTGTTTTCAAACAAATGCAAAAACAAACAAACAAACGCTGATGCCTGATCACTGGGTCCCAGACCACCTCCCTGATGGCTACTGTGTGCTCTGCCTTGGACTTGGGACATCTCCTAAATTTAGGATGGGCCAAGAGTGAAAACAAACTTCAGGGTTCCTCTCATTTGTTCTCCAAACTACAAGGCTCCCACTCCCAATTATTCATGCAGCATCCTGAGGAATCATCAGAAGTGGTACAAAATGATAACTTATCACTGTAGATAAGGCTTCCCTAAAAAAGAAAAAAAAAGAGACTTTTCTTCAAAGGGTAAAATTATATATATATATATATATATTTCCTTGCAACTCAGCAATCTGAAGCTGTGAGTCGTGAGTCTTATCGGATGGTTCTGAGGAGTAAGGCCCCAGAGCCTGGCTGTGTGTTTTCCTGACACGGAAATCAAACGACTGAAGGTTGTCACTCATGTATTTTCGTCTTCCAACCTATGTCAGTTAACTACTGACAGGTAAAAAATAGACATACCCGTGCAGCAAGCCGACTTTTAAATTTATTGATCGGCCTAGAATACCCGAGGACTGCGTTTTAGGGAGCCAAGCGTGTGTGAGTGAGTACGGAAGTAAGCTGGCCTTCACAAAACCAACAGCAACAGCAAAAGCCGCCCCCGGCCCCTCCCGCCCTGCGCTTGGGAACCTCTGCGTGTGTCACAGCAACTTCAGTTATTTAGTGGAGGGAAATGCTAGGAATGCAGCTACTGTGACAGCTGTGCCCCGTGTTTGTGAGGGTGGCTGCCATGTGCCCTCTGCTCGCTGCGCTTAGCAGGGAAGCTGGTGGCTTGGCAAGGGGAGGTCCTGTTTAAGAACAGAAGGATCTAGAATCGAGGCCAACGAGGAGAGCTTCAGGATCCTATATTCAGTAATAAATATAGGGCATTCCCCCCACGCAGCCGCCTGTGTTGAAAGGGGCCCGAGTGGTTATGGCATGGAGACAGATAAATAAATACGATATTGAGACATCATTTCCTCCCCAAGATCAGGAAGTGGAATCGCTGCCTATTTGATGCCACTCTATTAATGTGTCAGATGCGTTGTAAAAAGTTATTACATGGTTTTGAGAAAGGAAACATACAAGGAGCCGGGAAATTAAAGGGAAGTCATCTCGTGAATGTTTGGGAACAGAAAAGGGGGAGGGGGGAAAAAAAGCACACAAGGAGGGTGTGTATTTAACTTAACTTTGTATTTTGCTACACATTGTTTTCATTTATGGCTGAGTCTGATAAATAAACACATTTGACATCACTGATACATACAACATTATCTGGGGTCTACGAGAAAGCCAGGCTCTGCTAGAGCTTCTGCCCATGGCATCTGCTTGTGGGGGGCCGGGGGTGGGGGGGGAGAGTCCAATATTTTTTTCTCCTTGGTGAAATTATCTGCCAGAGAAACAATGAAGCGTGAAAAAGTGCTATTGAGAGTGTATGTCTACATATGCTTTACAACTGCTAGCTGGTACCTTTGGGATTCTTTCCTTCCTATAAATGTATATGTATCTATGTTTTACATTTCAGTGGGTTTTTAAAAATGAATATTACATTTGAAAACAACTGCGCCTATTCCAGTTTCGCACATCTTAAAGCGACAAGCACCGGTTCGCTTTGCTATGGGTCAGTATAGATGACCCTCAGACAAGTGGCATAATTAATTAATACGGAGGAGGTTATATATTTAATAGCCTTTTTCTCTAACGCAAACATTTTCTTTTTTTAAGGAAGGAGACTAAACAGAAGTCAGGGGCAGGTTGTATCCTAACGCTGCAGATAATACTACTGCTACTGACAATGTATTTTTAATGCACAGTTCTCACATAAATTTCATTTCATGAAATACACTGGTAAGTACATGTTGCTGGGGCTTCCAATATGTGGCGTATCCCACTGATGGCTCCAACTTGCGAGTGGGCTCAGTTCTGTAATTGGAATGAAAGGAATTTTAACACTATTTAGACAAAGACTCACATGCAGTGTAAAGGGAAATCTAGATTTCATTATATATATATTTAATTTAGGGACTTATTTGTAACAGGTACACTCAGGCAGGATTTAGGATTTCTTTGTTTAAAAAGCATGTATTTGTGTTCACCGCTCTCCTTCGAAGTTTTTAGTAACGATTATTTCCAAAATCACCTTTTGCTAGGCGCTAACCTTCTCTTAAAGCCAGCCACCAAAACCCCATTTTTGTCAGCACCCCTCTACTTGCCTTCTCATGTTTTGGGCCAGAGCTTTCTTATTATATTGAACTGCCTGTAGGGTTCTATCAAAATCCTTAATGGTCACCCAACTGTATTTTTCTCCCAAGCCCCTTTCCTCATGTGATCATCACAATAACTCCATCCTGAATGTCACTCTTATTTTAAGAATGTGTTTGCCTAAAATCTGTCATCTGATGCTGAGTTTTTTTGCATCAGTGACATCTTCATTTCTGCTTCTTCAGGGGGAGACGGCCTATCTCGGAATCGGGATCAGAGGGGAGAAGAAAAAAAATCTCTGAAGCAGAGAGCCACTAACATCTAGCACATGAAGTGGTTTGCTGTTAAGACTTTTGCTAGGCAAAATTAAATGTGTATTTGGGAGCCCTATCTAAACTGGCACAGAAAGAAAGGTCAAAATGTACAGGGTATGTGCTGTTTGTGGGATAAAAAAAAACAAAACAAAAACGGGGGGTGGGAGGTGGGGAGGAAGACAAGATGATAAACTGGCCAGAACTCATCAGCGCCAAGCACAACCTGTTTTCTTCAAAATAAGGCCTTCGGTCAGAGTTGCAATATTATCTTAAAAAAGAAACCGAAAACGAAATCAAGCAAAAGTCATGGTGTTTAGCTCTATTTTCAAAACAGTATTGGCTCTGTCTAACATTCTGTTAGTGTTAGAATTCTAGGGGAAGTTGACCAAGAGTTGCACGAATTTGTGTCATTTTAAAATAGGTCAGGGCTGTTAGGGAAGGTAGCGCAAGACTTTCCAAATGATACACAGCATGTTTTGGGCGATAGATACCAATAAATCAAAGCACAGCCTTTATTCCACCAGGACATTATTTTGGGGAGCGTATTTCAGGAACGAAGGTGATCTGAAATCATTACCAGCTCATCTTCGTGGGGAAGAGCCCTCTGTTAAATATTTACCGGGAAATATGATTTAATAACAGAGCTTAAACCCAGATATGTACTTGGAGTTCTGTAAGTGAGGGGTGGATTTTTCTTTTTCCTATTGAAGAGAAATGACCTTCAAAGTTAAAACACAAACAACTTGGATTTGTCCTAAGTGTTGATGTTAAATCTTGTCAGGCCTCGCTAACCAGAAAATCCTGGCGTGTAAGGGAAGAAGGGCAAATAATCAATTTTAGCCCCAGAGTGAGCATTGTTGGTCTTTGCCATTAAATGCACGGGCATCCAAAGGCACCTCTGCCATGCCTAATTTTCCTGGCTGGTTTCTCTCTCCATGGGCGCACTGCTGGCTCAGATGCTCAGGCGATGTTGTGAAGGCCCCGCTCTATGGCTGGGAATGTTGCTTGTTTTCACCAGAGGGCACTGACAGCTCAACTCCTTTGAAAACTTTAGGGGTTGGGGGTGTAAAATTTGAGAGGTCATAATTTATATTTATATTAAATATTGCTAATAATTAAAAGGAACTGGCCTCCTCCCACCTCATCAAACAGCCTAGGGTTCACCCTGCGTTCTTGCCTCCCTACTCCTCCATTAATCCTTCCTCTGGAGAAAAGGGTGTATTTTACACTTGTAATGCGGTGTTGGGCCCAGTTAAACTGTACACTAAGAAACTGAGTACAGAATCAAAAAAAAAAATGCCGTTTATTATTGTAGATTATTCTTTCTCTTGATATAACCAGAATTGAAAATGAAAGAAAAGCACATAGGAACATCACGCGTGGTTAGTTTAGTAACTCAAGATATAAAACAATTTTGCACAGCAAAATATGTAAAAGAAAAGTAACTGACAAGATTTTTTTATATTTATTGTGGTAAGATTTACTTTTCATTTTTTTTTTTTAAAGACAGGATGTCAGTCCCTGAAAATAACATTTACTGATTATTGCCTTTAAAACTGTGGATTTTTTTTTTAAGTTACAGAAAATCCAGTTCTGCACCACAATACAACTGTAAAAAAATCTGCATCATTTTAAAACTGTGCAGTAATGCCATTTTTATAACTGCATAAATTTTATTAGCGTTCTAAACAGTTTTGCATTTTTTTTGTATTATATGCTTGCAGGTTATATCTTAGTGCAATTCAGTCCCAAATACTTTAATTTTGAAAAAAAAAACACATACATTTTGAATGTAAAATACCCCTACAGATATAAACAGGGGTGTTTCCCCTTTTAATACTTTGGTTTTCAATACAGTCAGTGGTATAGCAAAGACTACACATACCCAACTTATATTTAAGTTGCAAGCACATGCTGTATAGGCTACTTTTTAAACAGTCCCCTTGCAAACTCTACCCCCCTTAACATCACAACAGTAAACAATTTAGTGCATCAATCTTTTAAAAAATCTACAGCTAAACAGACCTAACTCTTTCAAATTTATCTATAACATTCCTTTATCTGTAGCATACATTTTAACTGGGCTAACAGATTATAAAAACTAGAATTAAATTATATACTAGAAACCCATAGCATTCCACATTTGACAATGACCAAAAGCGAAAAGGAAAAAAAAATAACATAAAAATAAAACAAACAAAAAATAACGGGGCAGATTTCTTTCTTTAAAAAATAAATTTTAGACTGCTTTCGGAAACAGCACAATTTGAGTCCCCAAAGTGGGCTGTCATTCTTACTAAAAAGAAAACGTTAGGAGTTCTTTAATGTTTGCCATTTAAATTTTTTAACCCATTCTGGCATCTTTGACAAGGAATGCCTTCAGTGCATTTACAATGGGAGGCTGAAGTTCTGAGCAACTCAAAGCAGTTTTGGAGCAGATGCAAACTTTCATGGGAAGAAGGCTCTCAAGGGTTGCACTTTTTCGTTCTGAACGCAAAAAAGTCATGAGACAATAAAACAAAAGTATGAATGCCATGCCCTAAGTCTTTGAACGTCCATTTCCAAGCCAAAAGGGAAAAAAGAAAAGAAAAAATAATTATACCATACATGTCCAGCATGCAGGCTTTTTTTTATTAATATAATGTCTCTTTTCCATAAAGTTTTTGAAACAGTTATAGTTCATCGTTGCTTAGAGAAAGTAGCAAGCATAATAATGCATGAGATGAGAATGAGTTTTTTTTAATGGCAGACTAAACTCTCAGATTGGCATCATAAGGCCAAAACTCACAAGTCACACCCAGAAGGTTGATGCAGGCTTGATTGTGGCAGGTTCGCGAGGATTTTTTCTCTATTTTAGCATAACAGTGCTAAAAAACCCGATGGAACTCAGCACGCTGCAAGTCTATAACATTTCACATTTTTTTTTTTCCTTTGCAAGCTCAATCTCACATGAAGAACTCAGGTGGAGAAAAACAAAACAAAACACCTTAGCTTTTTTTTCTCTTTTATCTCAGAAGAGATGGGTGAAGAGGGCGTGAGCGTAGAGGTTGGAAAAAAAGGTCAACACAGCAAGCTCCAAAAAGTAGAATTAAAAAAAAAAATCCAAACAAAATAAAAACACACACAGAAAATGGAACACCAGCTCATGAACTGAAGAAGAAAAAGAAAAAAAAATGTAAATGATGCAGGCTTCAAAGGTGAGCATGAAGAACTCTGCTGAGATCTTTGAACATTGTGCAAGGGGGGGGGGGGGGGGGGGGCATAAAAAAACAAGCTACCAAATTATGGAGATTTCCAGATTGGCAATCCATGAGCCAGACATCCATTCCCTCCCCAATTTAAAAACAGCCACCACCGCCACCAACTCGGAGCAGGGTGTGTGTGTGTGTGTGTGTGTTTGGGACATCTGGGGGGGGGTGGGGGGGGCGCAAACTTGGTAGGGGAGGGGGCGAGGTGGTGGCCAGCATGGCTCTGGAACTAGCAAGCCCACTCCCGAGTTGGACCCCCACGGAGCACTTATCAAGGTGGCTAGCTGGGATCGCGTGTCAGACTCACATGAAAAACTCGGGAGAGGACGGGTTGTCGCTGCTCGAGCCGTTTTCTCGGAAGCCGCTGCTCACCAACTTCTCGTATTTCTCCTTGTACGCGTCCCTCTCGCGCACCAGCCTGGAGATCTCCTGCTTGAGGTGGTCGACCTGCTGCAGCAGCTGGTTCTTCTCGGACTCCAGGACGTGTCTCTGCTGCACCCTCTTGAAGCGGCAGGACTGGGCATAGCCGCGGTTTTTCAGGGTCCGCCTCTTCTGCTTCAGCCGGATCACCTCCTCCTTGCTGACCCCGCGCAGCTGCCGGTTCAGCTCGCGCACCGACATGGTCACCAGCTGCTCGTCTGAGAAGCGGTCGTCGAAG